AGGAGGGAAGGGCAAGCAGGCACTGCTCAAGCAGCATTCTTTTTCCCTTTACTGGGCACCTGTGATTGCTCATGTGAGGTGTGAATAAGGAGTTGGAAAGTGAACAGAATGGAAGACAGAGTGATTCCAAAGCTGTTTGTGATGCTGCTGGATGCATATTGATAATSAATGCAGCAACCAGTAGAAAACTGTTAGAGACTCGGTATGCTAGCTTGCTTTCTTTAAGAAAAATACACTTGAGAAAGTATAGCTGCTCAGCTTGGAACTGGAAAGCTGGGTGTTTGGTGGAACATATACAGATGGTCCTGGACCTGCACTAAGGCAAAATCCTGCTTACCTGAGCTTTAGAAAAAACACCGGCAGAGAAGATCTCTGGATGTTTTATAACATGATTATGCATATTTTCACAACATGATTATGCATATTTTCACCTACAGAAAAGGAAATTCAAGACCATCTGTTTTAAGAGTCAAATTACTGCTGACTAAGGCATTTTTTGTGGTAATATAACCTTAGGGTAACATCTGTGAGGACAGTGATGTTTCCAGGAATGGCAGTGACTTAGCAGGGTTTTTTCTTCTGTGAAGATGCTGGACTCTGCCTTCTGTATTGAACTCAGAGCACTGATAAGTAAGAGCAGTGCCAGCGTTAAAAGACTTTTTTTCAGTCATTAACTTCACAGCCCTTCATGTGGTCAATCTTTCTGATTGAGAGGGAGCCCAACTTGCTGTTGTTTTGAGCACAACTGATCAAAATTTCTTCTCCCACTTTACTGTAAAGCAGTTGACTTAGAGGCAATCTTAAGTGAAGCAATTGGCCAGGGTTGTGGAGCAAATCTTTTACCAGTCGTCTTTATTAGCATTTTAACCTCCCAGTGAACAGTACTACCATTTACTTCACATATATGCTTAGTTCTGTTTTACTTGAGAACTTACATAACATTAATTATGTATAGAGACCATCCAAAGAAAAGTGGTCTGAGAGTTAGGTAAKTTTTACATAAACAAGCTTGGTATGTAGAATGATAAGTAAATTTTAAAAGGCGATTAAACCTTTTAAGCATCAAGCGACATGAGAGAGTCAGTTATATCTAACCAGTTATTAGTATAGCCTATAGGTTCCCCAAATATTCATTTTGAGTTCAAATACATAGTAACGTACAGGATCAGTGAAGTAATGCTGTCGGGTAATGCTGTTAGTTCCAGTATTGCAGGTAACGCATTACTTCTCAGACGTTTTGGTTTGCTTTGATCTTGAGCACTAGGACATCTCTGTGACTAAAGGGTTTGTCACTGTTAGTATTTTGCTTTAGCCAGGAGTACACTTTGAAGCAAATCTCCCAGTCTTACTAATCCACTAGATTTGGTTTGATCACTGAAGAGTCTCAGTGTGTGTGATCAGATTGYTTTCAGATGAAACTAAACCAAGAGGTGCTCTCCAAGGTCGCGCCTCATGTTCAGTACCTGCTGGCTTTCAGTCGACAGGACCAGATTACAAGAAGTCTGAAGTAAGTGCTGCTGAAACACAGTGCAAATACTGGATCGTCAGCAGCAACATCTTYGATCTACTGATCTCCACCTATAGAACTGCACTGCTGATTGTTGCTGACATGGTCTTTGCTGGCTAAGGTGCTTGACAGCTTATGCCTATGTCCCAAGCAGCCATTTTGAGTTCCTCCCCAGTTGTCACCTCTGTCTCTGCTGGTACCTCAAACCAAGCTGCAGTACAATCCTTACCTGTACTGTTATTTCTCATACATTGTATGTGATTTTTTATTTGCATTAGAGTCTTCAGGGACTATTCTCACGGCAGGTGTCAAAGTAAGTGTCTGCGTTTTTTTTTTTTTTTATTTCTTTAGAAGAAACATGAAGGGAGTTCAGCTTGAAGTAAGACTAATGACAGACTGGATGAAGTCAAGTATCTTGTGGGGATACTTGCTGTGTTCTGTGGAATGATGGAGAAGAGACAATAACCCATTAATCGTTTTGCTTTCTTAGACTTTAGTTTCTTTGTTGTATTTAATATTTGCCATTGTATTGAAGGATAAAATATTTATCCTTGGTGAATAATGCGTGCTTTACCATTTCACTGAATTACAGGATCTGAACAGAGTGCTTAAAACACACTTTAGCTTTTAGTCTCTGCCATCATTCTGATCAGCAGGAGACTGTCAGGAAAATGCAGTCTTCAAGGGGACTGAGACTGTCAGAAATTGAGAAGCGCTGTAACSATGTTCAGTGGTGAAATACTGTTCTCAGAAGACAATCTTTTATTCTTTTAGAGGCAAATTTCAGAATTGCTTAAAAGTGTTCAGTAACTGTTCAAAGACAAAAGAAAACAACCCACTGAAAGTCAAGACTCAAGCTCTAAGCAGCAGAGATGATTTTTAAAGCATGCCTTTTTTGTTTTTATCCACATTTCCAGACCAGTTATTAATAAGACACAAATGCATTGTTCATCTTCACCAAGCTGACTTCCTGGTTTGGCTCTTTAGTGTATCCACTAGTCATTTTTTCTACATCACTGCTAGTAATGCGCTCGCAGCAATTCTTCCATTTCTGCTGTCAACCAAGGTTTATTCAAGTTTGACCTTCTCTGTATCAGACAAGCATCASTCATGTCTTCTGATGTACTAGCTTTAATAATATTATACAGTGTATCTTCCTAGAGTGTGCTTCAGCAACAGAACACCCTTCAGGCTTAGCTGCCGTAATATTTGGTTCTGTAGTGATAATTTTAGCTTCTGGACACAGCATTTATTATTTCAGCATGGCTTATTTTGTGGGGTTTTTTTTTT